GTTCATGTCAAAAACGAGATCAACTAGAAACTTGTTTTTGTGAACAAAAACATGTCTCCCCTTATTAGCCAATAGACAAACTTCGGTATAAAAATAACAAAGGGGACATATCTCTTTATAAAGTGGGGCAGGAGACCCGAATTTAGAATGCGACACTCCTTCTTCCAAAGATACATAACTTAAGCAAGTTTGGTCAACGTAGGTGATATAACATGGAAGCTATGCCATGGACGAACTTCGGTATAAAAAATAAACAAAGGGCCATAACTCTACATTTAATGGGACACAAAACCCGATTTCAGTGCGAGAGATTCCGCCATTACCAAGATACATAAATATGGCAAGTTTGGTCGAGGTAGGTGAAATAACATGGAACTTATGCTCCGGACAAACTTCGGTATTAAAAAAGGGCCATAACTCTGTAAATAGTGGGACAAAAGACCTAATTCCAGTGCACTGCACACTTTCTGTGGGTGATACAGGTATACTTCAAGTTTGATCAAGATATGTTTAACGGTTTAAAATGTACAGGCCAGACAAGAATTTACTGAAAATGTTGCATTTATTTGACCTTTGACCTCGAGGTGAGATTCTGCACTAAATTCAACTTATGCGCCAAGACCATTTTGACAGATTTTTTGGGAGCATTCAGTTGAAAATTTCTTCCCAACAGTAATCTGAGTTGACAGGCTTAGCAACGGCTGATTTAGTGCAGAATGTGTACCAGTATGCTGGGCAATATAAGTTAATTGACATTTACTGTCCCCATGCATTAGATGACTCCACTTAAAATCCATGTTTTCCACCATTCCATGTCAACTTTGTACCACTTTATAATAAACCACCAGTATCAAACTGAATTGTATGCCATGGAGATATTTTTTTTTGATTTTTGTTTTGTAGTTAATGAATTATAAAAATTTGTAATTATTGCATGCTCAATTGATATTTATCACCATGAGTAGTAGTTGTGCACTGTTTGACATTTAATGAAAATTGTGATGTTTTTATTAGGATACTGTAATTCAATCAAATTTTATTTTAGTTGTTTATTTTGTGTATTTTTCAAATTAAGATGTTTAGTACTATACATTAATTACATTTTAAGCCCGCCAGAATGGCCAAGCGTGCAACAGAAAATTTGATTGGCCCGTTCATTTGCGACACTTTAATGCCTTGAAAAAATAAGTACAACATTTAACATGTTAAACTTGGGAAGCTGTTTATCGCCTTAAAATATTTTTGATTATTTAACACGATATAAGTTGACATGTAACATGATAGCATTTAACGCATTAAGTTGTGTTTTAACACGTTAAATGTGAACGCGTTAGTTTATCTCGTTTTAGACCTGAAAATAGGACCTCGAATGTTTCCATGTTACAACGTATGACCCAGGGAGGTCAGTCTTCAGGGGTTGGTCTTGACCTCCAGGCCACACTGTTTATATACATACTCACCCACTTGCCAAGGGATGTTCTAGACCAAATTTGGCCATTTGTATCTAAGGAGAACAATTTTAAAGTTTCCTTTATTTATAATATTGGACTGCCACCCGTTATTTATAATATTGGACTGCCACCCGTTATTTATACAAAACATAGCCCCCTTTGCCTATAACAAATTATGTGATAATCCCTCGGTTCTCAGTAGGAGAAAGCTTTCAAAAAATGTACCTCTGTTTCCACTATTGGTCCTCACGCCACAGCCTCAAGTTACAAATTTGAGTCCCTTTTCCCTAAGCATGCTTCTGACCACATTTATTGACTTTCCGACCACCCTCTCCACAAAATTGAGAATCCTTTGGCCAATGATGCTCCAGGTTAAATTTGGTCAAAATCCACCTAGCCGTTGAGGACTAGCAGCGTTTTCATTGAAAAAGTTGACACATCGGATGCCGAACCATAGCCCTTCAGGTCAGGTGAGCTAAAAATCCTCCTGTTCGGCCAACCAGGGATTTCTGCTACATCCCATGTTATAAACAGGTAACCACAGGTTTCCTTCTACTTCTAAAAGGTGTTCATAACTCGGTTCCAGCTTTCCCTAAGGAAAATTCCAGCAGCACAGTTGTCAATTACAGTGAGAAAAGACAAAGACAGTCAAGATATTTACTAAAGCCTTTATATTAATGAGCTTTATATTGGATTTTTTTGACAATGTTAAAATTTGGGTGTCATTCTGCTTACAAAATGACAAAAACAAATTAAGCAAAAAATACAACACCCGAAAATTTCAGCACTTCTGTTCATTAGCACTAGTATAGAAAATATAGAGCTCTTGAAGAGCACAGAAATGGAATCTGCATTGTATAGAACCAGTCCTCAAGATTTAAAGGGCTAACAGATAACAGAAAAGAGGAATGAACAATTTAGGAATTTCACTCTCATATTTGGCTTTATGCATGCATGGATAGGATCACTTAGAAATGTATTCAGTAAAATAATTTCACAGTCCAGCAAACTTCAGATTATTTAAGATTTCATTCCAGCTTTAAAAGTGATATCTTTCCCTCAAAATAATTCAAATACAACAATTTTGTCAATACACCGACATGGTAGAAAATAAGTTGATCTTCCCCAATTTGAAAAGTTGACATTTTCATTATAAACAAAGAAAATACCTGCACCACTCTGGAATTAACCGCAAACAACCGTTAACAAGATCTCACACCCTAGATTTTTTAGTCATGATTACAGTTTTTAGATGAATTGTCTCCAACCATCAAATGGAAAAATGTTCAAGTTTGCTTTGAATATAATTTTCTAATGCATACAGCCAAAATGATCAGTTGTAGGTTACAAGGTACCAAAATGAAACGGTAAACAAATAAGGAATACTTCACATACATACGGAAAAGTACTAACGGAGATAAAGTGGCAAATGAACTACTTCATTTATTGGTTGGTGAAGGACTGTACTGCACTCAATAAAACTTGGCACGGATACACTCTCTCTGTGGATGTCTTGTGTATAGACGCTGTTGACCATGAAAAAACTACAGTTTGATCTCAAATCTCAGTAAATGCATGCAAAATTAGGACTTTAGGTTCCCAAACAAAAATATCACAATCTGAGAAATGATGTATCGCCACATCTTTCAACAGGGATAACTCCTCCAACAGTCAAATTTGCAAAATATATCACAAGTTAATACAACATTCTGCAAAATATATTATGGAAAACTTTTCATAACTTAATAGCAAAAACATACAAATAACTGTGTTCAAAATGCAGTGAATTCACGGTCAACTGCGACATAGTGACTTAGGAACTGTCACAATACTTGTCTTTTATCACATTGTAAGGAAACCAACTTGTAGTTTTAAATGAAAGACTGCACATTTTTGAATACCCGCATATGTATGTTCAGGGTTTTTTGCAGGTCCTCAAATGTTCACAAGTGTCCTTAATTAGTGTTAGAGTTTCCTCTCTAAGTGTGTTTCCTGGAATTTCCTCACTAGGTGTGTTCCCCGGAGTTTCCTCAGTAAGTGTGAGCCCTGGTGAGGGCACTGTGGAATTGTTTGTAACTCTGCCCGCTGTCCCATGGAGATCGGGAGGCTCGGGAGTCCCAGATAACGAGGTGGTCAGCCAGAGCCATATTTGTGGACACTCTCTCTCTCTCCCCTCTCGCTCTTCTCTCACTCAATGCAATTCGTCGCGCTGGACGAGCCGATGTCAAAACGGACGTTTACGGTATCCGAATGTCACATAGGAGTAGAGGATATTCCATGTCAGCATCTGCAAACAAAATGAAGTTTTGTGAAATACTTATACAACCAATTACAATGTAACAGGAAAAATTAACGGAGCTTTAATGTTTCATGTCTAGATTACTGCATGCCAATAATTAATCGCAATGCCGGTAGGTGCAATGGATATTTATTTTAAAGCATAAAAAGATATACTATTAAAGCAGTTTTCACCATGCCTGGAAACTTTGCAATTTAAATCAGAATGATAATTTGTTTACAAGTACAACAGACAATGAACAACAAAAAGACTGTTTACAAGCTAATTAGATTACCATGAAGCCGCGTTCTTTAGCTTGCGTATCTCCTTTGTAGCCCAGGTTGCCAGTGTTTTAGCCTTAGTGGCTTTAGAACGACGTCCTTTCGTCAGAAGGGCTGTAATTGGTTCTTTGTCAACTAACTGTAGAATCTTCATACCAAATGCTGTACAGAGGTCACTGTCAAAGAGTAAAAACAACCAGGATTTAAAACAACATCGGAAAGATTACACAGATAATTGTGGGGCAGTGCCCGCACCTGTCAATGGGCAACATAAAAATATGGGAACAATGTTGTTATTTGTGTGAATTTTGGTATTGGATAACAACTACAGCTGTTCACAGTGGGAGAGTTAAATTGCTGGTAGAAGTGAAATATGCAGGGTCATCTCTGAAAGCGGCCTGTATCACCACAAAACACATGGAAAATTGGTCATAAATATTCAAGACAGTCTGTGGAAACCGAACATGAATTTGACAGTGATCAGTTCCCTCTGGTACTACTTGTGGATAAGTAATAAATATATATAGAACATTTATAAAGCACCCTATCCAGCTTGAATAAGCCACTCTAAAGCCCTTGACAGTATATTGATATACAGTTGATATAACCAATACATATCCAGCTTGAATAAGCCACTCTAAAGCCCTTTACAGTATATTGATATAACCAATACATATCCAGCTTGAATAAGCCACTCTAAAGCCCTTTACAGTATATTGATATACAGTTTATATAATCAATACAATTAACTTGCACATTAAATAATACATTAATCAATGTAATTTTGAGGAATTCGCAGAAGCTGTCTGTTCAGGCGTTAACTACTTGTCCTATGCCACCTGGCTAATATTTCCCTATGAGTGTATGTATGCCTGCGTGTGTGCTCGAGATGTAATGTGTTCCATTTGTAGTGGGACCGTGCTTCCAACGGCATAATTTATAATGCCACCTCACTTGAATACTACAGCACAGATACCACAACATCCATCCCAGGCCATTTTGTGTGGGCAGGAGAAAAACACTTTCTGTGAATATTCCATGCATATGACAGGAAGGCTGTGTTAACTACTCGACCAATCCGACCATAAACCCGAGACATTATTCATGATCTTAATTCCATACAAAAAGGAAACATTGTTCTGAATCTAAATTAAAAAACAAAATATCTTTTCACCGATATCTATTTAACAGAGGATAACCAGATTAACTGCACAATTTTCAGAACAAATTTCTCTAAATCGTGCCATCACAACTGCGTGTCACCACATTTTACTTATTTACATAAACATTATTGACTTGTCTGTTCTTAACATCCGTCGGAATATTCAAGTGAAACGTCATGCTCCAAACACGCTTGTGGTCATCTATGTTACAGGACTACCTACCCGATCAGTCCGCAACTGGCCGCGATATTGTCATCGCTATGGTCCTCATCCAAAGCGATGTGTTCTATGAAGGAGATGACGTGACCCACATGACCTTGGATAAGGTCAATGTCAGCTAGAAACAAATCAATGTTTTAGATTATATATAGAAAAACAATGTCAGCTAGTAACAAATCAATGTTTTAGATTATATATAGAAACACAATGACAGCTAGAAACAAATCAATGTTTTAGATTATATATAGAAACACAATGTCAGCTAGTAACAAATAAATGTATGAAAATATAAAGATATGCAATGTCCACTACAAAATGAATATATAATAATTTTATATAAAAACACAATGTCGGTTAGAAACAAATTAAGATGTAATATATATGGAAACAAAATGTCAGCTATAAACAAATTAATGTATAAAACAATTAACATCAACCTCTGATAGTAAAGTAAATTTTCTCTGCACCATTTTATCAGAAGATGATCTGTATAAAGATCTAACAGTATTTTGGTTGTGACAAACACTTAATTCATATATCTGCCCGAGATACTTATCAATATGGGACAATTGGAATAATTGCAAAACATTCCAAAAATAGCTAATGTACAACAGATCCTTTTTCAAGCTAGGCTGTAAGTTTGTGCAGCTATTTATCCTTATTGATGGCCACATCATTGAGAGTGAAACAGCAAGTCCATGTCACTTGTGCTAATTTGAAAAAGCAAGCTCAATGGTACTGGTAGCTGTGTTTTTAGCTCAATAGCTAACATGACATGAAGAAAGCTACGCCACAAAAAGCTGTTACACTCACCGCTTGGCGTTTCTCCATCCCCTTTCAGACCTTGTACTATGCCGGTGTAGGCTTCTAAACATCCTTCTCGTAACTCGTTTAGGTAGTCTATCATGTCGTAGTCCGTCTGAAGCAGATATCAGGGATACACTACTGTAACATGCAGCTAACTTCCAAAAGTGTTCCACATAGAGAAACAAGTCAAATACTAATACATGGTTAGGAACTAGGGCTGCAACGATACACAATATGTTTGGGAGTTTACAATACACCTACGATATTTTCAGGATTTTGTCATTTCTGAATCAAGTCTATCATATCGGGTTGATGGCCATCATGGCGATTGACAGCGCCAGCTCAGCAAGCATGTCAAAAGACATGAAGTTTTGAAATTTTAAAGTTGTAATATTGGCATTAAAAATTTGTAACATATCTTTTCACTTTGCTTCTACTGTAACTATATGCCATATGCATGGCATCATGACCACAGTATCGTGATACGTATCGTATCGTTATGTTAATGTATCATTGCAGGCCTATTAGGTACTATGAAATAACATTTGTTTTTTCCACACTAAAAAAAATTCTGTTGGAAGATTTGAAGCTTGCATACTTCAAACTGCTGAACATGGTTAAGATATTAAATCGATAGTGTAATGTACAAAATAGACATAACATATGTCAATGCCAATCTATCTGCCTGCACCTAAACATATAATAAACGGGAACTAAATGAATTTTTGTGCTTATAAACAATATCTTAAGGGAAGTAACACTTACACATTTTTTTGGAAAAAGAAAGTCACATCAACCTATTAGCAATATTTCTTTCAAACTTGGATACAGTTATCAATTTCATTATCATTGTGAATGTTAGAAAAGGACTCACCTTGTCAACTTGTGCTTGTGAGGCTTGCTGTAGTGTGTTAAGCACATATTCCAGGTAAGGCTTGAAGTTGGGACCAATGGCTAGGGCAATATCCCCAAATGCAGATAAAATCTGGGGCTTCACAGAACGATGGACAGTGGAATTCTGACAACACAAACGGTACATATTAAATGTTTGATAGAATGGTGTATTGTATATAGTTCTTTAAGAATATATATTCTCAACATGCAAGAGGCATATCTTTCTTAATTTTTTTTTTTACACATTCAACTACAGCATTAACCTCTTCTTTCACACAAGCACCTACCCCTAGATTCTCCAAAAGCATGGTCATAATCTCATCACAGTAAGTCAAAACCTTGGGTCCCAGCGCCCTACACAGATCTCCAACCAGTCCTACAGAGGCTAAACACACCTGTAAAACAAAGTTCTCAAAACTTCAACACACCTCTAAACATGGTTTTTGATTTCAATAAGAATTTTTGTACAAAAATCTGATAATTTTGATTCATAGGGCCATATGCCCCTAACTTCAACAAGAGGCCCATGGGCCTTAACGGTCACCTGATATATTTATACAGAGAGTTGATTTTGTTTTTAACATGAACAGAAATATTATTCAAAGTGACAAAAAACAATAAAACCACCTTACTCAATATCTAGCATACAGATTTCAGACTAAAAAGGATTTGAAACTAGCACCTCTGATTCTTAACAAGGAAAATGAAGAAATTTTAGCACACTGACTCCTTTGAGCCCCACCCTACAGCCCTTGGGGGTAGGGCTGGCTCAAAATTTTCAAAGTATCAAACTGTCAATTCAAGGTTATAATTCCAATCAAGTTATTAACATGTAATATTCAAAGTATCATTTGCCATTATAAACCATAATAAATTTTGCCCCCCCCCCCCTTCCCCAGGGGGTAAACGTGAGACCCTAGGGTCATAAACCTTAAGACCCTTCCATCTATGAAGAGTATTTGATTCTACCATATCTGGGTCTTGAGAAGAAGATTTTTGAAATTTCAGTAAATTCGACCCTTTTTGGCCCCACCCATCAGCCCCTGGGGGTCAGTCAGGGCTGATATGTGCTTATTATCAAACTGCTACCTAATACTGATAATGCTAACCCAAATTGAATTACTTCCAATGGAAATTAAACAAATGTTGGTCCAAAATGTGATTTCCCTATATAAACTATAGTAAAGTTTACCCCCTCCCCAGGGGGAAACATGAGACCCCAGGGTCAAGAAATTCACAATTTTGGTAAAGCACCTTAAGACCCTTCCATCTATGAAGAGTATTTGATTCTACCATATCTTGGTCTTGAGAAGAAGATTTTTGAAATTTTAGTCAATTCAACCCTTTTTGGCCCCGCCCCTCAGGCCCCTGGGGGCTTGGGACTAAACCGGCCACTATTTTTGTTAACCTTTGTCCATGAAAGGTCCCTGCAAAATTTCATTGAAATTGGTTCAGGGGTTTTGGAGAAGAAGTCGAAAATGTAAATTGTTTACGGACGCACGATGGACGATGACGGACAAAAGGCGATCGCAATAGGTCACTTGAGACTTTGTCTCAGGTGACCTAATAAATACCTACTATAAAATGCCAGTAATCTGGCTAATATTGTGCAACTATTTATAAGAATAGCTACTTATAACTAACAGTTTTAGGACCACAGTTGAGTAGGATAATTTGCTCTGCTGTAACGTCCTGGAGTTTCAATCTTCCAATCTCTATACAATCAAACTTCATGACACTATCAACTAGGTAATTTAGGTCATTTAATTTATACATAATTTAAGGATAATACACTGCTTATTACCTTTACGTTTGTTCAAAGCCATTTTAACACTACCACAGAAACACATTCATATTTATTTTTCAAAAATACAACATATCATTTCATCTTTCTTTTAATTTGCCGATATTTTGACATGTCGTGTTCTTTTTATATATTCTGAAAATCTGGCACCCCATAGATTTTCAGTTCGATTTCAGGCACTCAAAATGTCCTATTTTTTTTACTGTTCATACTTTGAAATAAACACCTTGTAGACAAGTTGCTACTTTCGTATTTGGAAATGAAAATGTTCTACTTACTGTGTATTCTTCAAAGTTCTTCAAACTCATCAGCAGGAATGGTTTGAAAGCTTCCATATAATTTATAAAGTAATCTCCTAAAACTGTAAAGGACAGAGAAAGTATCAGCATTGCATCTCTCAATATCTAACTTTTCATCAACCAATACCAAAGTTTATTTTAACCCTTTCACCCCTATGTAACTTTAGTAGACTCTACCATGCATTGATCTGGATGAGTCCATTATGGTCTACAGTGGTGAAAGGGTTATTAGTCAATATGTATATTCAAGCTAATAGTTTGATCACACCACTATAGAAATGTATTTAAATGAGACTTATGATCTAAGAAAGAGACCCATTTTCAATCCTCTTCTCCTTTATATATTGCAAACAAGTTTCCATTTACAGTAAATCATTTTATTTTCCTATACCTTATTTAGCAAACCATGCCTGAAGGCTATTTCATCACTGTAAATGTCTATCACACTTCTAATCTGTAAAAGTTTCTTCCTCAATTAACCCTTTCACCCCTATGTTACTTTAATAAACTCTACTATGCATTGATCAGGATAGGTCCATTATGGTCTATAGTGGTGAAAGGGTTAATGTGCTAATGACTTCCACGCAAAAAAATAGAGCTGTTAAAAGTAGGTTGTACATTGTATCACATTGAAATCAAATTATATTTTTCAACTTTCATATTTTTGAAATCAAATAACATTTGCTTTCAACTACGGTATGCTTGCTGCAGTTAAATTTTCGCCCTCAAAAATAAGGGCAAATTTATCATGAAGCAAATATTACTACAGTTTACCCTATATTTGACAGGGCAAACATTTCCTGGCTTACAGTATCTCCACACACTGTACTGCCACACTTACCCTCTATGAGTGTGGACACTGCCAGTAAGGCGTCTTCCTGCACCCCCCCTGTTTTGCCAGCAGAACTTGTGAACATGCTGAGCAGGGCTGTCATCACCTGGTCCGAGATCTTTGGTGCATCCTCAGGGGTAACTTTCCTTAGGACACTCTACAAGATCAAAAATTCATAATTCAGCTTTCCTACACCAACCAATACTATGCAAAGGGCGATAAGTCGATGAGTAAGTGGCCGTAGCTTAATAGATTATTGCAAGCGAATTGTGTCTTCAAATGAACATAGCTCAAATCAATGTTTTTTAGGTAGCCTACTTGTATCATATAGGAATGTTATGCATCTAATTTTTTTATTCCTAAAACAATACTGTTCATGAATTGTGCACACCTGTCTGAAAGGAGAATTGAATTATACCTGTGTACCAGTTAGGAATCAGTGATAATACTTAAGACGTCAGAATGGAACTGCCGACACTTATAGGGAATTTTGGGAGAGTTATCTCCCCTTAAACTGTTGACCGCGTCAATAACATCACTGTGCGATTATCTCAAGTGATATTCCTCCACATTCTAACAGATATTGGAACCTAAGAGCTGTTCTTTAACTCTATGTAGAGAGGGTGTGGTATACAACCCACACCTCATTTCTCTACACACAAGTCAGAAGGGAAATTATGTTAGGAACTTTACTTGTAGAGTAGCACACAGCAGTGACTGTATTTCTCTACACACTTTAGTCAAAAGGGAGATTATGTTTAAAAGGAACTTACTTGTAGAGTAGCACACAGCAGTGACTGTAAGTCATTGTACTGGGCTCGATCTGCCGACATCTGAATCATATTCTGTAAATAAACAAATAGCTAACTGCAATCACAATTGACTAGATTCACAGACATCTGTAATAGGTTCTTATTAGAATCTGAAAATAACTATTGAAAGATATAAAGTTCAAATAGATTTTTTTTTTTTTTCTATCATTAAGAGATATTAATTCCAAATCTATAGCAGGCTTATACAACTCGCATTCAAGAGGTTAAAATGCTGTTAGCTTATGGTACATGAATAAAATGGAAATTACTGTTTATTTAAAAAAACATATCTACATGTAATAGTTTGAGCTGGAGGTTCTACTAGTCAATCTGCTGTAAACTTTGATGGTGGAATCCTTATAACAAGCACTTGGATTTTCAGATCAAGTGCTTGCACAATATTAGGGGAGAATGTAACATCACAGGAAACATGGATGTGATTTCAAAACATCTGTCTATCAGAATCATAATATCTACGGGAGAATTTAACAGGGTACATCTTTATACTAATGTAACGGGAGAGGAAAAATGCACGGCCAGACCAGGGTTCGAACCAGGGACCTTCCGAACGCTCGACAGTGGCTCAACCAGTTGAGCTATCTGGTCGCCGACGATCGACCCAGTCCAGTTCCGCTACATTCCTCCTTCCTTTAACAAAGTCTTCGACCCCGAAGACACACGACCCTATACCACCTTCTGTGGGTACATTTCGTTGGGCGCCAAATGTAACAGGAAAGGAAAAATGCACGGCCAGACCAGAGTTTGAACCAGGGACCTTACGAACTCTAGACGGATGCTTAACCAATTGAGCTATCTGGTCGCCGACGATCGACCCAGTCCAGTTCCGCTACACTAATATAGGTTTTAAAACATTTGTTCTGTATTCATTTTCCACAAGAATATTTACTTAAGTGCATCAGATATAGTGGCCAACATTGTGATGATGACTTTTCTTATAGAAGCAGATAAATGTAGTAATTTCAGACAAACCTCCATCTGAAGAACACGGTTCAATTTTTCTAGGATAATTAAAGTTGTTTTCTGTACTATTGCATAGCAATCCTGGAATGAAAAATAAACATTTGAACATATCTTACTAGATTACAAAGGAAACAAATCATGAAGAGAGAGGGGAAACACTTACATAATATACAAGTGGTAAGTCTGAAATAATTCATATTTTATATAAAGAGTCAATGGAGTAACCTAGAATTGTTAGCCACAGAATAATAACAGTGAAAATTGTTCAAAAAAAGTTTGAAATAAAGTTGACTGAAATGAATAGCTAAGACACTAAAAATCGAAAATGCAAGTAGTGAAGTACACATTCAGAGGGTAACTTCACTCACCTTTGGACTATTTTTGATCATTTCCATGAGTGCTTCATAAGCAGCATTTCTTAAATTGTGCTGGTTTCCATCAGCCCTGAAGTAAAAAGTTAATATTTACATTTAAATTGTACCGTTTCTATCTGATGTCGGGTTGTTCATGTTGTATAGAGAATGCTCATTTACCACATAGCATACATACCGTATCTAACGATTTGAACGTGAAACTCCCGAAAACTACTTTAATAGGAAAAATCCTCACGGAATGGAACTTATTTCTCACAAATTTTTATTGGTCCCATGAAAAGAACACATTTTGGTCAATCCTAGCGAAGAAACAATAGCTACATGGATTCACACCGACCTTGGTCACTGACAAGTCTTAAATCACAGGCCAGCCACTTAACCACAGGCAAGGCCAATTGCCAGCCAAGGTGTGCATGCTGTAAATGGCCAGCCAATTTTGTGGCCATTTATTTCTTTTAATTATTTCCACCTACTTCTTTTTTTACCTAGGTTATCGAGGACATATCTCTGGGATTTTCTTCAATTTTTTTTTTTTTAGTCTTTGATTTTCCTTATTGACCACAGTTCTATTGAAATCTATTTAACAAGATAAGACTTTCCTTCTTTATTGAAGAAAAATAGGATTTAAATACTTCTTTAGCTCATACCTTAATATATTAATGAAAATGGTTACATACTGGGTAGAATCGTAATGGAAGCATTATGATATATTTACTTTAAAACGTTGAAGGCTAATCACATGTCGCATACAAACCTCCCTAAAGTCATAAAGATGTAGAACTTACCTATCTGTTGTTATAATTAGTTTTTCTACAATGGTTTCAAAGTAGCTGGACAGGCAATAGGTCTGGGGTTCAGAGCCTTCTTCGGCCGCCTCTGCAGCAGTATCATAGGCTGCCTCGGCTAGACTAGAAAATGCCTGTGTGACCCAAATCACAATGTTACCTTAAAATAACTCGCTACATGCAAATCTTTTGTTTCAGATATTTGTCATTGTCTACAAAAAAATAACTTCTGAACTTAAAATATATTGGTCTTAAAAATAATATATATAGCCACTTGCAAAAAATAAAAGTATTACATAATTTCTTGTAATTGCTGAAATATATTATGTTTGCATGTGTGAAAGTGTTTATTTCGTTTCATGTACTTACCCAACAAATATTGCTAGAAACTCTCGGTTCTGCTGTGAGGCCTTCTACCAGCGCTACTAACAGTGGGTTTAGGCATTGTTCATTGATAACGGCATCGGGCAACATTTCACACACACGACCAACAGTCCACGCTGCAGTATCACGTACAACAACACTCGAGTCTTTTAACAATTCAATAAGCATCCTCATGGCTTGTTCAACAACAGGTTTCAGCTTGGCTGGGTCAGGTCCTTCCAATATGGAGCCTGAAAATAAAAACACCAAAGAAAATGGGAATAAGGTAGAGAATGATACATATTGCAGGACTGCAAAAAATGGCTGTTAAGAGTCGAGATATAGAAAATCAATGTAGAAAGTATTCAATCACCCTCAATACTCTAGAGTTGCGCTCACTTAAGCTCTCTTCACCCCTGGAATATGTCATGGCAAAATTGGAGGCGACACCCGACTTCAAAGCCAGTAAATTTTACCATTACGCTTCCCCGGGTCTCTTTTGATGTACATCAAAAGATAAAACCCATGTTCTTTTATCATCCACAAGGTGATGCACACCGATCCTTGTTCGGGACATATTCCACTGTGTAAAGAGCACAAGGGAGTGTAGCCCCCTGGAGTCTAGTAGGTAAGATTCCTAGAATCTGACATCAGTAACACCTGTCATGATAGTAAGACAAACATAATGCCTAAAAAACCTACACTTGGTGACATTAAATATCATTAATGTTTTGTTAAATACTACAATTATTTTACAAGCAGAATTCGACATCTACAATAAATTGAATTGTGATGGATAAAATCTTACCAAAAGCCATGACAGCAGCATCTCGGAAGCGCCAGTCTGGGTGTCGAATGTGGTCATTTACAAACGGTAGAATATGAGGAACAATATCATCTTCACAACAGTTGGCCATCAACATCAAACACACACCAGCAGCCTTGCAAGGGTTCCATTCATCATCGTCGTCAAGTTCCTCCTACAACACAGATTACTTTGTCGTACAACCAGAAGGGCAGACTGTTTTGTATCACTTAAAATAAGGAGAGTACAATGAAGCATATACAAGAGGCACACAAGGGGAGTCTATCTTGTATCACATGAGGCACGGTAGTCGAGTGGTAGGACGCCGGGCTCGTGACCGAAGGGTTGCGGGTTCGGAAACGGCACGGCACTGTGTTGTATCTTTGAGCAAGATACTTTACTCTGCTTGTTCCAGTCTACTCAGCTGTAAATGAGTATGTGTATGCTCCCCAGGGACTTAAGGAAGATATTGATTGGTTGCAAAGTCCCTATAACCACGGATAATAATTTGTGAACCGCTTTGAGACGACCTGCGAACTAGGTTGTGATAAAGCGTTATATAAGAACCTCAAATTATTATTATTATAATTATATAAATATATTTGAGATTTTACCACATACAAGTAGAGTTAAATTTACATCATTTCACTTCACACCAAATACAGTACATTACCTAATTATCCTTAGTTCAAAGGCAAACATTTGGCTATGATCTTCCAGATGATTGCATTTCTTGTGGAACATTAACAGGAAAGAGAGTAGTGTGATTCCACCAGGGATCAAAACCACTATCCCAGACGCTCTACCACCATCTGCCAAGGATTGCGGCTTCAATCCCGGAGCTCTACTTCCATAGAGTTACAGAGAACTTAAGAAGTTCCCTCTAGCGTGAATTTAGACAGCAACCATGTACAACGAAAATCTGCCACACTACTCCCTTTTTTTAAAATGTGTTTGCCCTCCAACACAACAACCCAGGTTCAAACTCCCTGTCACCACAGGGAGGGCCATAGACACCATTTGCAACAGGAAAAAGAAAAGTGTGCTTCAACCGGGGATCAAACCCACGATCCCAGACTTTCTTGTCAAATGCTTTACCACGGAGCTAAAGAGCGATTAATTGTAAGTTGAAATAACTTGTTTACCAATAATTGTAAAAGCTGTAAAGCTTTTATACGTCACTTTGTATAGAGGTTTTGGTTTTCACAAAGAATGGCTAAATCAGTCTATAATCACTTTTGCTTTATACAGACACCTTGAAGGAAATGAACTTTCACTTAATGATTATGCTTGTAGAATGATCCTGAAATACGGTTTAGGAATAATGAACAAGGAACTTTTTTCTATTTTAAGTCAAATGCAGTAACTAAATGGATTATTAGTAATGAACCGTATTAGTTGAACAGTATAAACATGTGAACAACACTAAAACAGAGTAATTGGAACACGGTGGTCAACTTACTTATTGCTGAAGAAAATACACACTTGTCGAGATCCTATTAGCCTATATCCCTCGGATACTCAATTATACTTATCTCACAACTTGACAATCAAGTTGGTCAACGCTATAGCAAACAAGCCAACACTATATTTCTTTTCATTTTATGGATCATTGTTGTAACATTTCAACTTGATTTACAAACGAGACTTTTAAATCATTTACCCCTGACATTTCATAATGAACTATTCCAGCATCTGAATTGGAAGAGTTCAAATGTGTCTTCAGGGTTGAATGAGTTAATGTTGCTGAGGGTAAAATAATGACCCTGACCCATAAGTGGAAGGACTTCTCAGAACATAAATATTGAATTTCATTTGTTCCTTGCTAAATTCTGAAAATTCACCTGTTTGATTTGTTGTAATTTTTGTCTATTGTCTTAAAACAATGGAAATGTTTACATTTGACAGTGGGCATTACTTATATCAAAAGAATGCAACATAACAAAATGTAGTCCTATATTTAAAACTAGTGAAAGAGTGACACTTGAGAAACATATTGAACTATTTCTCCAAATCTACCTGTCCAAAATTTAATCCTTATTTAGGTATAGCCCATTAGGCTACATTTTATTAATACTGGCCGGAATACTCCCAAGTAGGACAATTTGCCAGACACTTTAATGGCCATCTGGGAGTAGCATAACTGCAATACATTTGGAAATGCTACTGAAACAATATATTCTATGTTTTCAGCAACTTTGTATAAACTAAATATTGTCTAGTGTTACCTTTCCCCCCTTGGTAACTGTAACAACCTGCATGTCACAAATTGGCACCTGTTATCATTGTTAAGTACAGAGTCTTCCTAGTTGTTGATTTATGTGGGTAAAGGTGAATATGTTACCTCAGTAAGACTAATCATTACACATCATCTCGTGTGTCACACATAGGCGTTTGTCATCATTGGTAACAACTGAAAATTTCAGTGATTATAAAGATTTTTGAATTTGTATAAGGAACTTATTCATGAGGATGTAAGATTGTAGATAACTTATATTTCCTTCACACTTCATGTATTAATTATTTTATTTATTACTTATCCATTATTTTATCCATTTCATGTACATTACACTTCCTATATTTCTACTTTCAACCTTAATCAGCTTCTAGTTTTTTTCTCTGAATTCTTATCATGAAACTTTATTATTTCTAATTTAAGATGTTTCATATTTGCAAAATTTAATCTTCCACGCAAAAATTGCATTAGAAATTTCCTTATATGGCCCTTGTTTTTCGAGTTCCTTAGACACCAAGCAAGTACGACCAAGTTGTCATTGCATGTAACTAAAATTCTCAATACAGCTGTCATCTGAAACGTAGAAACCTAAAGTATAGCGAGTGATTTACATTAATATGTTACCTCAGTAAGACTAATCATTACACATCATCTCGTGTGTCACAAATAGGCGTTTGTCATCACTGGTAACAACTGAAAATTAGTGTTTATAAAGATTTTTGAATATGTATAATGATTGAACTTATTCATGAGGGTTTAAGATTGCAGATAACTTATATTTCCTTCACACTTCATGTATCAATTATTTTATCTATTACTTAATCCATTTCATGTACATTACACTTCCGATATTTTTACGTTCAACCTTAATCAGCTTCTAGTTTTTTTCTCTGAATTCTTATCATGAAACTTTATTATTTCTATTGAATTTAAGATTTGCAAAATTTAATCTTCCAACACAAAATTGAATTAGAAATCTCCTTATATATCCCTTGTTTTTTGAGTTCCTTAGACACCAAGCAAGTACCACCAAGCTGTCATTGCTTGTAACTGAAATTCTCAATACAGTTGTCATCTGAAACGTAGAAACCTAAAGTATAGCGAGTGATTTACATTAATATGTTACCTCAGTAAGACTAATCATTACACATCATCTCGTGTGTCACAAATAGGCGTTTGTCATCACTGGTAACAACTGAAAATTAGTGTTTATAAAGATTTTTGAATATGTATAATGATTGAACTTATTCATGAGGGTTTAAGATTGCAGATAACTTATATTTCCTTCACACTTCATGTATCAATTGTTTAATCTATTTTATGTACATTACACTTCCTATATTTCTACTTTCAACCTAAATCAGTTTCTCTATTTTTTTCTCTGAATTCTAATCATGAAACTTTATTATTTCTGATTTAAGATGTTTCATATTTGCAAAATTTAATCTTCAACACAAAATTGAATTAGAAATCTCCTTATATGGCCCTTGTTTTTCGAGGTCCTTGGACACCAAACCAAATATGATAAAGTTGTCGTTGCTTGTAACTAAAATTCTCAATACAGTTGTCATCTGAAACGTAGAAACCTAGAGTATATAGCAAGTGATTTACATTAATATGCTACCTCAGTAAGACTAATCATTACACATCATCTCGTGTGTCACAAATAGGCGTTTGTCATCACTGGTAACAACTGAAAATTAGTGTTTAAAAGGATTTTTGAATATGTATAATGAACTTATTTATAAGGGTTTAAGATTGCAGATAACTTATATTTCCTTCACACTTCATGTATCAATTATTTTATTTATTACTTTATCCATTTCATGTACATCACACTTCCAATATTTTTACTTTCAACCTTAATCATCTTCTAGTTTTTTTCTCTGAATTCTTATCATGAAACTTTATTATTTCTAATTTAAGATTTGCAAAATGTAATCTTTCAACACAAAATTGAATTAAAAATTTCCTTATATGGTCCTTGTTTTTCGAGTTTCTTAGACACCAACCAAGTATGATAAAGTTGTCATTGCTTGCAACTGAAATTCTCAATCTTAATTGTCATCTGAAACGTAGAAACCTAAAGTATAGTATGTGATTTACGTTAATATGTTACCTCAGTAAGACTAATCATTACACATCATCTCGTGTGTCACACATAGGCTTTTGTCATCACTGGTAACTCATAATAAAATCTATTGTGGAGTTTATCATGTTAAATGTTCATGTTTGGATTTTGTATCCAGGTCTTCTTTGTAGGATTTTAACTTTGCAATCACCACTGTTAAATTTCAGTATTTCGTCATTTTTTAAATGATTGATATACTGCCAATAACAAATTAATAGAGCAAGTGCTAAAATTCAAATTTCCACTTTTTTACACTACACAATATTTCCTCCATGGTAATAAAGAGGAACATATTGGGAAAGTTTAAGTAATTTCCCCATTGTTAAATCACAAGTGACTTTTGAGTCTCATGTAAAGCTATATAAAGCAAGTCACAGATAGAATATTCTTTTAACGTGTAAACTATTGTTTTAGACATTACATTGTATATTGTGCTGCATTATAGCAAGAGGCTGCAACTCTTAGCAACTTGATGACGTCACAATTATTCTTTATTGTTCTAGGCCCATGACCTTTATTGTCATTGTACCATAGTTGCAAACATCATGTAACTGTGCTCTGAAGACGGCCTCCCTTTGGCCGAAACATGTCAGCAAATAGGATGTAAATCAAATATTACATTATGTACCGGATTCAGTTGTGTTGTTGCTCATCATTTCTTTTTTTCAAGAGTAATAATGTATGCTGAAGGAGTTATTTCCCCTCATCATTGAATTTTAATAGTGGAAATTATTCTGATGATATAATGCATGTAGATTACTCACTGGGAGTTAAATATCTTGCAGGCAACTCAGCTACAATTTAAATTCAAAGGCTTCAGGTATATTCCAAAATTATTCAAACTGGACGGATGGGAAATAAATTTATTTAGTATTTTTCTTTAGGTTATTTTCCTGCCAAATATCAACAGCATGGACTGAATTTTCACCCTCCGTCTATATTCAGAGTTCTGGAATAGCCCTTTTATTAGAGAGTTAGTAAAAAAAGAAACTGGCAATACGTACATGCATTACCTGCTTGGTCAGGGACTGAAGCAGGATAGGAGCAAGGTACTGAAGGGCACCTTTGGCATAAAACTTGCTTGCTCTTTCTGGGGGCCGTCCCTGCTCTGCCGCCTGGATTATAAACACACATCTGTATTCATAATATTCCATTGATTCTCTTTAAATGAACAGATTTGATATATTTACTAGGACTGTCACAATATATAGGAAAACAGGTATATCCCAATACACGGGTATATCGTATCGTACCACAATACAGAGATGAAATATTGCTGTATCGCAATATTTTTACATGCATCTTATTCTGCTAGGTGTTTTAACTCTGCAAATTACTTCAAATTCTAACAGATATGCCAATAAGCATCAAACAGTCTATCAATAGTGGTAGGAATTAGTTCAAAGTAATCGATGGTTGGTTTGTCAAAAATCTTAAATCTATGTTAAATCTATATTATATATGATTAAGTTTGACAACAAACTTATTATAAAATCGACCACATATTACGACAATATATCAGGATACGTATCACAATAAATTCCTTCTGTATTGAAACATATCGTGATACACTCTTGGTGTATCGTGACACCCATAATATTTACTGACAATTCTTTTCATTATTAAACATAGTGAATTGTTAACCGACAGGATTTGGTTTAGTTTGGTTCAATTTTGTTTAACATCCTTTTAACAGCCAAGGGCACTCACTGACAGGAACTTCGATTTTTTCAAGAATTCTCCCCTCATTTTGCTACTAACTTTATAATGCTGAAATAAAGTTTCTTTTAAATTCAATATAGAAATGTTGTATAACCTCGGACAATTCTATGGACAAGTCAACTTCCTCGTCGCAGACGGTTGACCAGAACTCAATACCCTGGAGAGCTATCTCATCCACATCACTTTTCATGGCCTCCATGGTAATCTGAAATAGACAAAATCATGATGAACTTATTTGAAACACATCAGACCATTGTGATCTTAAACAGTCAGATTCATATATTTTTGTCAATTATTTCCTATTTTGTGGTGTTTTTTTTATAAAATGGAAACATTTACATGTATGGCTGACTGAAACCTTCCATACCAGACACTTTCTGTTAAACGATACAAACTTTTATAGATTTTTTTTATATACACGAGGGTGTTTAGTTTTACATTTGGAGGAATAGCCAGCGATTTATTTTTACATACAGGATACAAATTTCTATAAAGGATACTTAACTCTATTGTTCAATCGTGGTTATTTTATCTTTAACCCTTTCACCCCTATGTAACTTTAGTAGACTCTACCATGCATTGACCTGGACGAGTCCATTTTGGTCTACAGTGGTCAAACGGTTAATAAACTTAAATCCACACCAAATACTTCTGTTACATAATCTGATGCAGCTGCTCAGAATGTTTTACTCAAAATAAATAACACCGAATCTGGACTGGAATCTATTTGCATAATATTTCAAACTTACGGCAAACAAGGCGGGTCCCATGTAGTGCTCCATGTAGTTATAGTATAGCGACATTATTTTCACCAAACACTGCATCGCTGCAACTTTCACCTGTTAAATAAACAGGTGATATTACTCCCATCTACAGTCACGGAGCAGTACAAGCTTGAGTTCAGTCTGGAGTACCAGGAATTAAGCTTAAAAATATTACTTTGAAAGCAATGATTTTTTTTAACGGATATTACATATTTCAATTTTTTTTGAGATACATTTGTTGATAGATGCTCACTTACCCTGGACTCTGTTGATTGAGTGGCTTCACAAACAACCTGCATGATGAAGTGTCTCTCAGACTGTAAATGAAATTCAATACAAGATTAGCCGACTCTTAAAATATCTAACTTTGTACAGAACATTTACATATAGCAATTCAATTCTGAATTTTGTTAAATCATAACTAGAAAATACATTTTGGTATAGCATCCTGCTCAATCCCTGATTAGAATGGCACTAAACGCAAAAGTTTAGAGTGACCTACGTTTGATATATATAAGTGCAGTCGTCCTCGTAATGTAACCACATATGAAGCTTGATGACAGACTCTGTGTCTAACCAAGATATCATACAGATGGACCTGGGATCAATCTAGACTTGATTCACTACAATTTATGGGTAGTTCCCCTACAGAAGAAAATTTCAATGTTTTTAAAATTCCCTCTATGTGCTTCAAAATTCCCCTATTTCAGAAAGAAAATAGTGATTTTTTTCTTCAAATCATTTCCCCTATATATGCTTTCTTTAGAAGTTCAACAGTTAAAATACATAATACTGCATATATACATTTTCATCACATAATTTAAACAAAATTCTACAATTTTCAACTAAGAATTATCAGAGACATATAATATATATTAATATTTCTCTGGAATTATTTATAAGGCGAAATATACTGCACACATGTGTGCCGGACAAAACATCTTCATGCCTTCATGACGCTTGACCCTTGTATCAAAATTTTGATTTCCCCCAAATCTGAGAAAGGGTAGATTCCTCTAAAACCTAGATTGAACTCTGAGGACTGATGGAAAAGAAAAGCACATAATATTCCCTCCTACTGCAGTAGTGGCATAAATATGACAAAGTCACCTTGTTGGAAATAGAACATGCAATACCTCAGTAGGAGACTAGTTACTGATCACCCTATTGTCATAAACAGACATATCTCCTTGATTGTTGACTCTATACTCTAAATATACAGAGTACCTCCACAAAGAGATATACTCTTTTCAGTTGATTTACTTCAATTGCAAAAGACAACAGTTTTTTTCTCTCTGACCAAATGGGGATTTGGAAGAACTTGCAAACATCACATTAGGAATGGAATTATTACACAGTTTTGTAGTCCTGAAGGAAAAACACAGGCTACTTTTTTCAAAATTCACCCTATTAAAATGAGATTTTTGAGAAATGAATATTAGAAATTAATGTGGTGTCGATATATCATATAAACAGTCTTTAATTGTAATTAATTTTGCCACCTCAGTAAGACTAATCATTACACATCATCTTGTGTGTCACAAATATGCTATTGTCATCACCGGCAGCTACCAAATATTCTTATTCTCTACTTGTATGATATAAAGAAATCAAAGGCTGATGGAAGGATAACTCTTTATCAATATTATTACACAAAAGTTGAATCTCTGAATCAAAATTGGCAGTTTCTCTAGCAGAGTAGGCTATTCCGTCTTTTCGATTTTGTTTGTGAGAATAACGTCATAAATGTTTGAGAAAACGACTTAATTTTCTCACACAAACTAATGAAGTAACCATCAATTCCTGCTCACAAGAGCAGATAACTCTGTAATACGAAAAGACGGAATAATAAACTTTATACAATACCTCTTTATCAAAATTGGCCTTGGTAAACTCGAGGGAATTCAGCAATGCATTGGTTGCTGCCAACCTCACATAGTTGCTGAAAGTCAAATGAATACATTTTTATAGATTTTTAGACATTTTGTACAGCCAGAATTAACTTCGGCTTTAAATCCTGTTTTTTCCATAGGTTCCAATGTACACGTTTGATTGCACCCATTTACAGATACGTGTCCACTGTCGGCTAATATTTGTCTATTTAACCTTCTACAAGTTCTAGCAACTGTTGCAGCATATTATAGTGGAAAGGATTTAACCAGTTTCATGTGGATGTTGTGTAACAGGATAATCAAAATTTCCTTGCAGGATAATACCTTAAATATATGAGATTGCATATATTTGCATTATCATGTGTGTTTGTGTCAAGAAGATTGAGATAATTCATGACTTGACTGGCGGACTGTTTTGAAGAAAACTGAAGTGTTAATTTTCAATTTGGATGTTTGTGTCCTTAAAGTGGTACAACATATGATCAAAGCTTTAATGTCTCAATACTCAGATATGTCCTAACCGAGCCGTTAAGAACATGTACTCGGTCCATGCAAAATACAAATTTTCTAACAGGACATTCGGTCAGGTAACTATCCCAAACTTGCCGGACCGAAACAATTTTTACAGGACATTTCGGTCAGGTAAGCTTGAACTACTTACCAGTCCGAAAAAAACCCGAAGATGTTTAAACTTACAAAAATTGTTTCATGTGCACAATAATTAAATAAAAACCTTAACTGGGTTTGGTTTTTGCAGTAGTTTGCCGGATTTTACGAAGCATTATTTGTCACTCCCGTCAATGTCATTACAGGTTACAGCAGCGCTTGACTGCATCAAATATAACGGGGGCATTTAAACAGCTTAAGTGACATGACTAACCACAACTCTAAGTTAGAAAACATATGCCGGACATTTGGTCTGGAAATAGTGATTGCCGGGCCGGCAGTAACTTTTAACAGACATGTCTGTTGACCGTCGCACCGGCACATTTCACATGGACCTAGTTTTTTGCGTAACTTATTTACACAGGAGCATTTTTCTAGATGTTGACCGAATGTTTTACCTTGGTTCCTCTTTCTTCATGCCATGTACAATAGCTGTTAGGATGATATTAGACTGAGTCTGTAGAATGTCAGGGTCCTGTGAACAAATCGAAATTTAAAGAATTACAGAATTCTCTTACAGACGAATCGAAATTGAAAACATACTGTATATTCCAGGAAAAAAATATTTCTGGTTAATATACCTAAAAGATTAAAATTTCTTCAATGCTAGCTATTTTTATGGAGATGTATCACAACTAAACAGAGTATACTGTATAGCATTATGTAAACCAAGTCTTGGTGTATTGTCTCGGTATTGAGGGAATATTCTCCAAGATTCTAGGTTTATCTCAGATTCAAAGCGATAGTGCATACCTTGTATATAAAATCAACTGAAAAAAGACAACCTCAAGCAAATTTAGCTTGAAATTATAGCTATCATTATCTTTATTGAAATGGAACTTGGCAGAGGGTCTAGTGACAACTAAAAACTATGTCAACTTACGATATCCTGACAGATATAGCCGATGGCCTCGAGTGCCGACTCTTTCATGATCTCGGTACTTCCTGGGCTGGTAACGTTGCTGGTGAGGACTGTGATAAGGTCTGGCCACAGCCCTGTAGGCAACTCGGCACAGGCAATGTAGGCCACACATTGGGCTGCCGAGCTTGGACGGATGCTCTCCGTACCCAGGGAAGCAAGTACCTAAAAAGTTAAAGATTTTTACATGAATGTAAACATAATTTGAAGAAATAAATAGCTTCTGACTGCATACTGTTCATTTTTTTCTTCTCAATTCCGGGGTGTACAATTCTAATAGCTCTAACATCAAGGCTAAAGAAAATTGCAAAGTTTAAGTTAAGTTATAGATTGAGCTGGCAGATTTTTTTTTAAATCTGTAACTAGTATTTTAAATGTCATTTTCCACCTCTGAATTTTCTAGCAGCCAATGAATTCTTAAATTGAGGCGATATACAGACTTACTTTTGTCTGGAGTGAACACTGCAAATCTCGACCAACGAAAATATACAGCTGGCATTAGTTCAAAGGTAATGACAAAACACCAACACTGAACATCCTTCATAATAGCAATAATTGAAAGAACCATTGCAAACTCATCTTTGAACTTACATTCTGTTTAATTAAAGTCCTCCTTTCCTCTGGAAACTGAAGCCATCTCTGTTGGTACTCAACTCGAATATTTTGATCTTTCGAGTACAAGGCATTCTTCAGCTGAAGACCAGCCTGCATTCGAACCACTGCACTGTTTCCGGCATTTTTGAGGACATCGGACAGGGATAGCAGCAGATCCGGCTAAACAGAAAATGATCAAATATACACACCACATTACTAACACCACTAAAACCTCATGAAGATTTCTCTAATGGTTTAAGCACTGTTGATTTTTGTACACCAAACTGAAATATTTATTATTCTTAAGTTTAGGCAAAAAACAACAACATGATGCGTGTTTCGGGTAACGTGCCTGATAAAAAGGGTAGGTCATTAGGCCATTTTTTTTTAATTTTCTTATTTTTATGCATCGATACAATGCAATTCCATGCATACTACAAAGGCACTTAATTTGTCAAGAATAGGGTCAGACTCCCAGAACAGGAAGGAAGTACATGTTAATGAGTGGCTGTGAACTTTCCTGGCTAATAAATTCATATCAGAAACAAGTATACGTAGGTGATGAAATTTAAAGTCAGCAGGAAAATCTAGGATAGGTCTGGATACCTGAAACACACGTTTTGATTATTCTGACATGTCACAAAATTCATTTATTTTGACTTCAATTCAGGCACAATTATACAATTGTTGTCATTAATGGCTCATTATTTAGTCATTGAAAAAGTGTAACAAGATATTCCTAGATAGATCTTGGTGCCCACCATGAAATGATACTTATAAATAACATCAACAAAAGATGACCTTTTACCTTAATTACTCTTCATTTGACTTACAGGTACAATAACCCAGTTCCAGGGACATTTTAAACAAGGGCAACAAAATTGAACTGCCAAATAAGATGACAGACTGGCAGTCTGATGGCCATCCTGTTTTTCCAATCAGTCTTAAAAAGTAGTAACCATTGAGAACATATGTAAAATTTGAGAAAGACCCCTCTTGTACTTTCTGATCAGTCCCAAAATTCAATTCGCATCAGGAACTATAAAGAATTTTCAAATGAAATCTGAGTAAGATCCATCCAGCACTTTCTGAGAATAGCACAAAGGAACTTTAANTAGGTCACTTGAGCTAAAGCTCAGGTGACCTAAAAATTCAAGATGGCTGCCTGTGGGCCATCTTGGTTTTCTGATCTCAAATCAGTCCCAAAATTTGACATACACAACTAGAAACCATGGGAAACAGTCATATAAATTTTTATTAAGACCCATCGAGTACTTGCTGAGAAATATTGCTGACCAGAATGGTTGAAGGACGGAAAGACGAATAGACCATGGATGAAGGGTGATTTGAATGACACACCATCTGATTATGCTGGGCTTAAATGCATTCCTTCTTTCACCGAACCAATTAATTTGCAGTAATATCTTAACCCCCCTCAAACAATCACCAGAACATTCAAGGTAACATTCAATTTTATTTACATACAGATTTCAATTCTATTTTTTCTTTCTAAATTTTCCTTGTTAAAAAAAACAACTCCCAACCATCAGGGCCCAGGTGTACCTTAGTTTTAAATTACGCAAGAAAATAAGCCTACACTTGAATTTCATAAAAAAAAAGTGAAAAATTAAATATATACACTTATAGATAACAAGCAGCAACAAACAGATAACATATATTTCTTGTTACTTGGGTAAATAAACTGACGATCAATTCTGTACATTTGATAACCTAGGTTTTTTTTAATCAGCTATGATATTTTTGCTGTCTGGTTATTTTGTTGTACAAACTCCCATGTTTAAACTGACATGTCCACTGTGTAGTCTTATTTCGACTTCTTAGGTTTTTCAGGACACTTTTTGGTTTACCATCAACGTTAAACATAGAAGACCGGCTTTATGAATAATGAGGAATGCTGGAAACCTACTCAAACTTGCCATTTAATAATTTAATAAAGTGCACCCTCTTGTCTTTGGGCAATGATGTCCTGGAAAGGGCACCTTTAATGCAGACTATTCAAAATTAATTTGGCTTTTACTTGATTATTAAGTAATTGTGATGCATTTTTCCTTCCTTGTTTTACCAAAGATTTTTCACTGGACCAAACAAAATTTTACATTTACGTACAGGCCAAATTATACATAGAAAGTAGAGTTGTTCATACAGTCTTCATGCACATGAAAATTATTGCATTATGCCTAGTGTTGTTCCGATTAATCAATTTAATGGACGTCTGGTTGTTTGTTTCTGAAAATCGATTATAGTTGGGACTAACTTAAGTATTAACAAAAAATAAACTCGGATACGTTATTAACGCCGACAACGAGTTGTTCATTCTTGGGCAAAACAACTTGACCTAACATTTCACACAACAGCGATGCTGATTGGCTAGCTGGTCTACCTGACAACTAATCAGAACTTGTGTTTCAATAGAAATGCTTCATGGCTCAGTCAGTGCATGACAATATGGCAAACCAGGACATTGCAGAGATTAAACTCTATGATCATCTGGGGGCTACTGATTCAAACGTTTGGAAGGTATTGTTCCTCCTTAGCTGGATATAAATAAAATGCTTTGTCAAAAGCGTGGGCTACCTTACAAAAAAAATGTTAAGTTTGACGGGTGTCATCAGGTGAATGCCAATCCATCGCGGCATTTCCGAATAGGAGATGCAGCTGTCAAAGCATTATGGACATTGCAAACATCATCAATTTCATTTCCAAATACACGGTTTTTCAGTAATTATAAGGTTCTGTCAACAAACGTGTTGTTTTTGTATGAATGTTGTGCATTATTAGCAAAATTCTCCAACGTCAGGTTTTCGCTGCAAACTAAAGTGAAAGTAGATTTCGGAAATCGAATATAACATTAAATTACTGAATTTAAGTTTGATTTGATTGATCATTGGAGGCACGGTAGTCCAGTGGTAGGACGCCGGGCTTCTGGGTTCGCGCCACGGCAATGTGTTGTATCCTTTAGCAATTGCTGAATGCTAGCTGTTAGCGCCGAAATGGCAGCTCCGGCTGTATGCTCCCCAGGGAGTTGAGAAATGTACTGGCTAGTTGCAAAGGCCCTATAACCACGGATAATAATTTGTTAACCGCTTTGAGACGACCTACGAACTAGGTTGTGATAAAGCGGTATATAAGAACCTCCACTTATTATTATCATTAGTCGATCATCAGTCACTTGATTGGAAGTGATGATCGAGTACAAATTTACAAGTGATTCACAACACTAATTATGCCTATACAAATCTATCACTTATCATTTAAATATCAAACGTTCAGGTAGGAAATAAAGAACATTCAATGATCCTGGATAAGAATTTGTATGTCTTGAAAAATGCTAAGCATTATTCGTACACCAACCTGAAATGTGATGTTAGTTAGGCAAGTTTCATTTTTCGAATCTGTCGCCCTTTCTTTAAATAAAATCATTGCGGATGTTTTTTTTAACAAAATGTTGATTTACCCCCAATTAAAATGTCTAATCAGAAGAGGTCCAAACATACACACTGTGATTACATCTCTTGCCCCTGTGCCTATAATTAAGTTACAGTCACACTGTGATTACATCTCTTGCCCCTGTGCCTATAATTAAGTTACAGTCACACTGTGATTACATCTCTTGCCCCTGTGCCTATAATCAAGTTACAGGTCCCGTTAAATTGCTCTCGGCACATCAAATTCAGACATTTATTTTTCATCATAAAATATTATTCAGGTTTGTTTTAATGTTAATCTGATCTGAAAAATATCTAGTGGCATCACTACAATTAAGTGATGTTTTTGGAATACAGTTTGTTCAATTTTATCTTTGAAAGTGTTAGAAGAGTCCTTACTTTTTCAGTGCCTCTGCCAGGAGTTGAACCTGGTACCTCTCGTTTACTAGTCCTTTGCTTGACTGCATGAGCTTATTCTCCCTAGCCAAGATAGGAAGCAGCTAGTATTTTGTACAAGGACGACATACTCCCCCTCTAGAGTGTTCCAGGGGTAATGGCGGTTCTTTTGAAAGTATTGCCGAGTATATTTGTCAATATTACCCCTACGTGGGCGCCTATGAAACAGAGGTCAATGTTTTTTCAATTCAGAATCCTCCACCGATAGTCGAACCTGTGAAGTCTGACTGAGCTCAAGAGAAATTTCTTAGCAGAGTCGATAGGAAGCGGTCAGTATTATACTGATACAGCTAAGAAGATACCTGGCCAGGGCGACAATAGCATTATATTTAGAAACATCATTCTGACAGGCTGTCAGTTCTATCATTTTACAGTGATCCTTTCACTTTCACTTCAAGATGTCAGGCCGTCGACAACGCAAATTGAAAACACTACATATTAACTTAGTTATCAATGGCGATGGAATATGGGAACCGGCTCTAATATCATCAATTTCGTATTTTTCTGGATTATTCGCAAACCTGCGAAAATCTATACGGAAATCTGCGTCTATTAAGTTAAATTATATTGTTTACATTTAAATCAAACACTTCATTTTACGAATGTTTTCTAGGTTATATCGGTATAAGATTATCTGAAATGATGTCATAACACTCGATACATCAAACACGTGCTAATGGATTCAACAGAAAAGACAATAACTAGAAACACACCAAGTTGGATTGCGATGCTTGTTCAAGAAATCTCTGTGCCGCTTCAAGTTCTTGTTGATCTGTAAATATAGAATGAAATGGGCTTTAGTAAATTTGATCGAACAACACACAAAAATAGACAAAGTCATCCCAAAACTTCAAAAAAATTGAAGCCGGTTGTGTCGGATTTGCCCGAAAATTGTATCCTTACCGGACGAGACAGTCTTTTCGAGAATGTTGACAAGATCCATTTTTCGCTCGGTCACTGTTCTAACTTTGTTTATGAGACTCTTCTAACAACTCATTGATCTTAGATGTATTTTTTCTTGAGCCGGTCAGTCCACTTCCCCATGTGGGCTGCGTGATAATCCAAGATGGCGGGAGAAAGGTGATCCGGTCTGGGGAATCCGACATGCAGCAGTAAAGTCGAATTTGATTGGATGAATATTCGAGTAACGTCACAAAAATGAGAGAATGAGCTAATCACTAACATTGTTCTAAATCGAGGACTATTTTCTGTGTCAAACTTTTTGTCTTAAAATTTCATGATAAATTTATGTTGTCATAGATAAATATCTTATATAATCGTAGACAGTGTTACACGAAGATTAAAATCAATAGAAAAAATGCAAACTTTACAACATCGAAAAATATGCGTAATCTATAAGAGTAGTGATTTGGCTTTAAATGACAGTACAGTAACTTTTCGCGCCAAATTCGGAAAATGAACATCGAGTAAACATTTTATACCGAGGTGGTTTCGTAATTTCATGCATTTTTAATTGTTACTTTGGTTTTGTTACTTAAGTGAAAAAAGTGGATAGTATAAAAATATGACTACATGCAGTTTATAACAAAAACGTTCAAAGCTCTATAAAGTCTATTGCTTCTCGCTCTTCCTGTTAGTGTACGCGTAAGCATATACAGGCATACACGTATATGCTTGGCCACTGACGGAGTATCATGTCTATAATTTCCTGTTTTCAACAGAAATATTATGATTTGTTTCGATGAGAGGTTTCACTTTTAAATTTTGATATTAGAATTCCGTACTGAAGGTTTTTAATATAATGCTAATGGGCACTTTGGTTTTACATTTAATCTTGGTTGATTCTCAAATGATATCTACTACTTCCATTGAATCTATTTGGGACAATTTCGTTTATATAAGATGGAGCAAAATTATGATGCAGTTTATAGAAAATAACTTTTTTTTCTACTTCCATCTATCCTCAACTTTTCCAAACCGGTTTCCACATACAAGTATAGAGACTGTCTACTTGCGAACGAAGGCAAATCTGTAAGTGTTTTGGCTGCGTCTAAAACATTTTTTTTTTTAATTTACCTGAACTGTTACTGTTTCAACCATCCCGGACTTCACTGGCGTATTCTAGAATAGAGTACAGTATAAGATCGGATGGTGTCACTAAACTTGTTTAGTTTCCGGTATTCAACAATATGATAACTCTTCTCCGAAGTGGGATTAGAAAATAAAGTAGCAATCTGCACAGAATCGAGACAATTAGATGGCAAGCTTTCACAAAGAACGAACAACTTGTCGATGTGTTCATTGATTTCAGAAGTTTTTTTGGTTTTTTTTGACACCCATAATATGATCCGTTGTATTGACAGACGAGGCTTGTATCTGCGTTGTGCGTGGGAATCTCCTCAACTTCATTTCTAGTTACCTATCCGACAGACATTTCAATGTCTGTGTTGGTTCAACTTTCTCTGAAACTGCTGAACAGGAAATGGGAGTACCTTGTGATGGAAAACTATCAGTAACACTTTTTGGTCTGAAAATCAATGGCATAAATTAAATCAACTATTTCGGTTAGTCGCCAGAAAGGTTGATATTCGTTCTTGATCTGCTACAAGTCGAGAACATTCACACGATAGAATTGCAACTTCAACGATGTTAAGCAAAGTAAGAATGCGGGCAGACGAAAAGGGCTTCCAATTCTCTAATTATAAAAAAAACTATATATGCATGCTCTTCAAAACAAAAACGAAAACCACAGTGATCCAAATATCGCACTAAATAGCAAATTTATAGTTAGAAGAAATCTCATACTTCGTATAGCATCTAAAACATACAACATATTTTTTCTCTGGATTCCGAGCCACGTTGCAATTTAAAAGTAAGAAAATGACGACAGCAGCTATAATGCGTTAACCTTTCAACAAACCAATATCAAACTGCCATATACAGATTTTAAAAACAATTGATCAATAATTAAGCAATTAAATGGAAAGCAGGTAACTCCCATGTATACGAATGTTCGCTTTTAAGATACCTTCTTTATCAATACTGCCAGATCCTGAATATGAAGAACCTTTCGATTTCTTTAGACTTGGATGTATTGTTAAACATCTTTTCATTTTCGACTATGCATGCTATTTTATCCCCTTGTCCTTTATTTTTATAATTCTCTACATCTACCCTGATATTGATTTTAAGACAGGAGTTTTTTCATCTGATTTTATTTTGCTGCACTGTCACAGATGTCTATGGGCTGTATTTTCAATATGATATTGTGAGCTGCATTAAAGACTCCATGTACAAATGGTATCTGTTGGTGTAGGCTTCATCAAAATATCTGTAGGCTTAGGCATCATCAATGTATCTGAAGGTATAGACAACATCAAGGCATCTGTTGGTGTAGGCATCATACAGCTATCTGTAGATGTAGACATCATTCATGTTTCTGTAGACGTAGGCATCCTCCAAGGAGGCATCATCAATGTATCTGTAGGTGTAGGCATCATCCACGTATCTGTAGGTGTAGGCATCATTAAGGCATCTGTTGGTACCCCGTGTAGGCATCATCAAGGCATCTGTATGTAGATTGGTTTGGTTTAATTTTGTTTAACGTCCTATTAACAGCTAAGGTCAATTGTGTATCTGAAGGTGGATGTATCATCCATGTATTTGTAGGCGGAGACGTCATTAATGTATCTGTAGGTGTAGACATCATCAATGTATCTGTAGGTGTAGACATCATTCAGGTGTCTGTAGATGGAGGCATCATCAAGGCATCTGTTGTTGTAGACATCATCCAGGCATCTGTAGGTGTAGGCATCATCAAGGCATCTGTTGTTGTAGGCATCATCAAGGCATCTGTTGGTGTAGGCATCTGTTGGTGTAGGCATCATCAATGTATCTGTTGGTGTAAGCATCATGAAGGCACCTGTAGGTGTAGGCATCACCAATGTATCTATAGGTGCAGGCATCATCCATGTATCTGTAGGTGTAAGCATCATTCATGTATCTGTAGGTGTAGGCATCATTCATGTATCTGTAGGTGTAGGTATCATCAAGGCATCTGTAGGTGGAGGCATCATCAATGTATCGGAAGGCATAGGTATCATCCATATTTCTGAAGGGGTAAGTGTCATCCATGTATTTGTAGGTGTAGGCATCATCCACGTATCTGTAGGTGTAGGCATCATCCAGGCATCTGTAGGTGTAGGCATCATCAATGTATCTGTTAGTGCAGGCATCATCCATGTATCTGTAGGTGTAGGCATCATTCATGTATCTGTAGGTGGAGACGTCATAAATGTATCTGTAGGTGTGGACATCATCCATGTATCTGTAGGTGTAGGCATCATCAAAGCATCTGTAGGCTTAGGCGTCATCAATGTATCTGTAGGTGTAGACATCATAAAGGCATCTGTTGTTGTAGGCATCATCAAGGAATCTGTTGGTGTAGGCATCTGTTGGTGAACGCATCATCAATGTAACTGTAGGTGTAGGCATCATTAATGTATCTGTTGGTGAAGGCATCATCAATGTATCTGTTGGTGTAGGTATCATCAAGGCACCTGTTGGTGTAGGCATCATCCACGTATCTGTAGGTATAGACATCATCCAGGCATCTGTAGGTGTAGGGATGACCAATGTATCTATAGGTGCATGCATCATCCATGTATCCGTAGGTGTAGGCATCATCAAGGCATCGGTTGGTGTAGGCATCATCAATGTTTCTGTTGGTGTAAGCATCATCCACGTATCTGTAGGTGTTGACATCATACAGGCATCTGTAAGAGTAGGCATCATCAAGGCATCTGTTTGTGTAGGCATCGTATCTGTAGGTTAAGTTATCATCCATATTTCTGAATGTGTGTCATCCATGTACTATTAGGTGTAGGCATCATCCAGGCATCTGTAGGTGTAGGGATGACCAATGTATCTATAGGTGCATGCATCATCCATGTATCCGTAGGTGTAGGCATCATCACTCTATCTGTTGGTGTAGGCATCTGTTGGTGAACGCATCATCAATGTATCGGTAGGCATAGGTATCATCCATATTTCTGAAGGTGTGTCATCCATGTACTATTAGGTGTAGGCATCATCCACGTATCTGTAGGTGTAGACATCATCCAGGCATCTGTAGGTGTAGGCATCATCAAGGCATCTGCTGTTGTAGGCATCATCAAGGCATCTGTTGGTGTAGGCATCATCAAGGCATCTGTAGGTGTAGGCATCATCAATGTATCTGTTGGTGAACGCATCATCAATGTATCGGTAGGCATAGGTATCATCCATATTTCTGAAGGTGTAAGTGTCATCCATGTATTTGTAGGTGTAGGCATCATCCACGTATCTGTAGGTATAGACATCATCCAGGCATCTGTATGTGTAGGCATCATCAAGGCATCTGTTGGTGTAGGCATCTGTTGGTGTAGGCATCATCAAGACATCTGTAGGTGTAGGCATCATCAATGTATGTGTAGGTGTAGGCATCATCAATGTATCTGTAGGAGTAGGCATCATCCACGTATCTGTAGGTGTAGACATCATCAATGTATCTGTTTGTGAAGGCATCATCAATGTATCGGTAGGTGTAGGCATCATCCACTTAGGCATCATCCATGTATCTGTAGGCTTAGGCGTCATCAATGCATCTGTAGGTGTAGACATCATCCAGGCATCTGTAGGTGTAGGCATCATCACTCTATCTGTTGGTGTAGGCATCATCAAGGCATCTGTTGTTGTAGGCATCATCAAGGCATCTGTTGGTGTAGGCATCATCAAGACATCTGTAGGTGTAGGCATCATCAATGCATCCATGTATCTGTAGGTGTAGACATCATCCATGTATCTGTAGGTGTAGGCATCATCAATGTATGTGTAGGTGTAGGCATCATCAATGTATGTGTAGGTGTAGGCATCATCAATGTATCTGTAGCTGTATGTGTAGGCATCATCAAGGCATCTGTAGGGGTAGGTATCACCAATGTATCTATAGGTGCATGCATCATCCATGTATCTGTAGGTGTAGACATCATCCATGTATCTGTAGGTGTAGGCATCATCAAGGCATCGGTAGGTTTAGGCATCATCCATGTATCTGTAGGCTTAGGCATCATCAATGTATCTGTAG